AAGGTGGCTTTCTGCCACAAGCCCCTCCAGCCAAGAACAATTAGCACACGGATTATAGCAGGTAGATGGCCAGAGAGCTTTCCTGGCAAGGGAGACCATGGTAATTTGGGATGATGCCTGTAAACCCGGTTGCGGGCAAGTTGTGGGCATGCTCGCTGAAGTGTGCCGCGTGGTGCAGACAGGTTGTTCTGCAAGACAGAAAAGGTATTACTGGAAACCAGGTGCCCACAACAAGTGCAGTGTTGGCTGAACCCAGGAAACACGCTGGCAAGCACAGGAAGGGGAGACCGAGTCCCCTGTGCCTTCACTTTTGCACACAGTGCTTGCCATAGTGAGTGCACAGGGTGCCCAGAACAACTATGGGCCTGGCCACACCTTGCCAACCCAAAAGCCTGGACAATACAGCCAGCCTGATTCAGTGCGACACTAAGCCTGGGGTGGGGGTCAGCCTGGGAGCCCCTGCGGACACCAGGGCCATGCCCGCACAGGGACGTGCAGGGAATGCAAGAGGGGAGGTCAAACGATGGTGTGAAGTCAGTGCGTCTCCAGGCCTGTCTAAATTGCCAAGGGCTGCACTGAGCATCGCCACGCTGCACAGATGCCTCTCCGGAGACCGTGCTGCTCCCACCACATTGCTCCAAGGCAGCTGCACCCCTGGGTTGGGAGAAGCACCCCTGGAGAAAGGGCCGCGGAGCCAGTACCTGCCTTTGGCAGCGGGCAACGCCAGCCAATTCACAGGAATGAGCAAGAACCCGCACGGGCTGTTGTGGGGCAACAGGGAAGCACCTTCCTCTCCCTAAAGTTTTGTTCCCCTCCAAGATGTCCTCTTCATACCTGGGTCACATGCTTAGTTGCAGCCCCTGACCTTTCCCACAGTGCCCTATGGAGGAAGCAAGCATCATTGTGGAGAAGGCTGCAGACCCCTGGAGAAGGACACAGAGCAGTCCCTTGCTGCATGTGGTATGCAAGACAGCCCAGGCAGGATCATGCAGGATCATGCCTACAAAACAAAATGGTCTTGTGCCTCCCCTGTGCAGCTGGGCCCTCTCACCTGACCAGCTCAGCCCCTTCGTCACTGCTCTCCAGGAGTGGGTAACACTGTCCTCCACGGAGATTAAGGGCAAAAGGGTCAGTAAGACCACCTGTGGCAGGAAGCCACCTTTGTTTCTCCCCAAAACGCCACACCACCTAGCCGGACTACCAATGTAAAAGGCTGGAGGACCTCACCCAGGCACCCTTCCACAGAGCACAGGGACATGGGCTTGGTTAAAGCATTTCCAGAAAGATATCCAGCCTAGACTCAAAACCATGGGGAGCCAGAGAGTCCTGGCACCACGGCCTGCCTGGGCACCACGTTCCAGTAATTAATCACTCTCGCCATTAAAGTGTGCTTTGCTTCCAAATGCAATTTGCAGATTCACAAATGGTCAAACAACAGGCTCCACGTTCATCAGCATTTGCATTCACCTGCAGCACAAAGAAGCACGCCCTGCACCGCCCGGCTCTCGGGCACACGGGTCTTCGCGGCGATCGCGTGCCGCTGCGCTGCACCTTATGCTGCTTTGCTGCGCGCACCATTAAGGCTCTGCAGGCCAGAGGGTCTGGAGGAGCCGGTGTCCCTGCTGCTCCCGACCTCGGCTGCGGGGTGTCCCTCAGAGACCCCCCTGTAGACCCCCATTTCTGCCAGTGAGAAGCATCCCTTCTCAGCTACCTACCTCCCACAAGCGCAGCACCAAAGGGTGCAGCCAAGCGTGTGCAATGACACAACCCTGCCAGCCTGTGCAGCCCTTGGTGAAGCTTGGGCATGAAACCTGTACTGGCAACAGTCCCAAATGGCACACACTCACCATCCCTACCTGTGTCCTTCCCCCACGTGGTCAGCAGCAACCACTACTTGTCGACGTGGCATGAGGAAGACACTGAGAGAGCTGACTGGGGCACGTGGGTACAGGGTCTCACCAAAGAGGCTGAAGCTGCCAACACCAGTGAAAGACAAGATCCCTGGTTACTGTGCAACAAAGCATGATCAACATGAACACACAGACCCTGTTTCACGGTGCAAGGTGACGGCTCCAAGGGCCCCGAGCTGCCTTCTGCATTGGAAACAGGTGCAGCACAGCGCAGCTCTCCCCTGCGCTGCCCGCGGTGCGCACCACTGCTGAGGCTCTCGTCCCGGACTCCAAGTGGCAGCTCGCGGTTTTCAGCCCAGAGCTGGGGGCTGCCCCCTGCACACGAGCTGGCCAGTAGCACTGGCGCACGTCCCCTCCCTGGGAGCGGGACAGGGTGGTCACAGGCAGCACTGGATTTTCCAGGTACACTTCCAAATTGTTCCATGCAGCTTTACATTGGTTTAACAGGCTTGTCTGCTTCAGGTTTAACCTGTCTCCTTGTTGCAGTGTCCATACCCACAACGCATCAGCCTGGGTCACATACTACCCCCGACCTGCCCAATGCCACAGGAAAACTCAGATCCCCGCCAACAGTGGGACCCTGTCTAGGAGTAGCCCTGCAGCCACCGGGCCCCCTCGAAGGCTGAGCAGACTCAAATGGTTTGTGGACCAGCCCAAAGGGGGATGAGGAGCCCCTGCAGTTAGGGAGGGAAGGGGGTTTTACAGCTGCAAAGCAGCATGGCCTGCTATGTCCTTTGGGGCAATTCAACACCTTTATTTGTGATTTAGATGCTGGCACAGAAAGCTTCTGGAGCAAGTTTCCAAACATGACCAAACTGGGAAGAATTGCCAACACGTTGATGGATGCAAGTGCAATTCAGAAAGATTTCAACAGACTGGAAAGTTAGGCTGGAGCCTGTGGAGGGTGCAGAGATCCCACCTCAGGAAAACAGCTGGGTATTCGTATCCCTCCGCTGTTTCCACCACATGAGGCGGGCCAGTAGGGGGCACTCCTGCATCGAGCCACCCACCTCCCCGTGCCCGACCACCTTCCAGGCTCCGAATGCCTCCCGAGGGGCGCCTTATGTCCGGCCGACCCCTCTCCCGGAGCACACTCGCTAGTCTGGGGGTAACGTGCCGCCACCACCCCAAGAATGGACTGTCTCGCGGCCCTGTGTCCTTGGGGTAACACAGGCCTAAAGTCCCACGGGTACTCAACCCAGTACAGGCACTTGGGGTACTTCCCCAAGTCCGGGGGCAAAAAGGTATAGTCTCCCTTAGTCCACAGACCTAAGGGGTCTCTTAGGCATAATTTAGACCCACCCCTCAATAAGTCTCCCACACCAGTCAAAAAGGAGAACTTTATTGATTACAGGGGGTAGGGTAAACTAGGGTACAGGATAGAGCAATATCTAGAAATCCTAAAGAGCAAACAGTCTGGCTGTGGTAGCCTTTTGATTACGCATCTGTGATACTTCCAGCTAAATATCTAATCAGATTGAGTAGCTTACTCACAAGCATCTTCCAAAGGCAGGTGAAGTTTCCCTTTGGAGGCAGGCGGTTCCTAGCTCGTGAGTTTGGGGGGAGAGAGCCAGTTTCAGATGTTAAGGCTTCTCTGTCCCCTGCCTGGCTGCTGCGTCACCTCATGGCCGGAGAGGAGAGACCGCCTCCTTCCCCGTCCTAACTTATATAGCCCCTGTGACCTCATTCACCTGGGCCAGCGGAGGTCAGCCCCAGTTGGCTGTCAGCCAACCAATCTGAAATGCATCACCTGTTACCGGGCAGATTCCAGCTCCCCAGGTAGATGCCCCTCACCCAGGTGATTGATACAAGTCAGGTAGGCAGAGGGAGCAGGTTTCCCCCCTCCCTCAGGAATGTAGCCAGCTCCAGTTCCCTAAAGAGACAGGGTAAGGGTGTGGTCCCCTGTGTGCTGGGCCCATCCTAATCGAATGGTCACAGCACAGAGATTTGGTCACAGTGTCACAGGGCAGAGATTTTTGGGGAGAAACCAAGGTGGCTTTCTGCCACAGAGCCAACTATGTGCAGTTCAATGTGGGCAAAGGCAAGGTGCTGCCCTTGGGAGATCTAATCAAAACCACCAGTACAAAACAGGGGACACGTGGCTGGGTGGCAGTGCTGTGGAGAAGGATCTGGGAGTCTTGACAGACCACAGATTCAATGGGAGTCTGCACTGTGATGCGGCTGCACAAAAGGCCAGAGCAGTTTTGTGCTGCATGAATAGAGGCATTAGTGCCTCTCTGCTCGGCACTGGTTCAGCCTCATCTAGACACTGCACGCCGCTCTGGGCTCCACACTTCAAAAGCCAAGTGCAGAAGTTAGAGAGGCTCCAGAACAGTGACAAAGAAGATGAGAGACTTGGAAAGCAAGTCACGTGAGGAGAG